CGTAAGAATTTTTAAACTCTAGCCAGCAATCGTATGAACCGTCAAAGGAAGGTATTTTAATATCGGGTAACTTTATGCCTATCGGCTTACATGTTGAAACACTAGAATTGTCAGATACTTCCTTTTTCAATAAAAGTTTTGCAGAAGCTATAGCACGATAAAATTTATCTTCGAAACGATCTCTCTCTTCCAGCTGTTTTACAAGATCGAGATCTTCCGCTACTTCTTCTTCAATTTTAGACTGTATTTCACTATACATCTCTATCAAACTCGAAGTACTCTCGACACGTAAATTTAATTCTAATGACTGTTGATCAGTCAAGGGTAAAGTGAACTTTTTAACATAATTTTCAAACAGAGTTAATCGACCTTTCAAAACTCCTCTTTTCTTAATTAAATCTGATAATTTGGGCTCACTCATTTTGGGAATTAAGGAAATCAAGAGTACTTACAGTTGCCAATTTGCAGATGCGTACGAACCAAGGTGGGTGCCGTTGTGCAGGTAGGTACCGCCACCTGAGCACTGCCACTCCTGTCTGTCGATGCCTTAACGTTGCAGCTCTTCGCTCGATACGTGAATCTCCTCTTCGTATTTTGATGCAACGAATCTTCGGAGATTTCAAGCGTTAAGGAGTTCAATCCTTATTCGGCTCGATAGACCACTTTATGTACAGGAACGGGAGGCAGGTGCTCTTCAATGATTGATTTATTGAACTTTTTGCTGGTTATATTTAAATCGTCTTATTTCTAACAGTGTGTATCAGGTAATAATCAAAATTTAACGACAGATCTTATAACTAATTGCACGACGTGCTGTGATTGGTTGCTAACAATGACGAGCTCTGATTTGTAGATAAAAGTTTGGTGTTCCGGTGCGTCGCTAGACGGCGTTAGTAGTCGCGCCAACAATATGGATATTTTTTATAGGATAGGGTGACAAACGAGCACACAGTCCACCTGATGATAGTAAGTGGTTGCTGTGGCCCATAGACATCTACATCTATCTATGATTTAAAAATTTCCCTTGAGAACAACGATATTAATGAGATACGCCGAATCGGCAAAAAAGTCAATAGCAATGGAAGGGGAAGACCAGTACTTATGTCATTGGTGAATGCCTGGAAAAAGGTAGAAATAATGAGAAACAAGAAGAAATTTAAAAATGTATATATTTCTGAAGACTATCCTAAAGAAGTTCAAGAAAAAAGGAAAGAATTAAGAGGAAAACTGATAGAGGAAAGAAAAAAGGGAAACTTTGCGATAATAGATTATGATAAGCTGATCATTAAAGAAAAAATAATAAGCAACGAGAAGCGTAAGCGGGATTTATCGACATCACCTGCAAATACACAACAGCCTCGAAAACAGTACGCACCATCAAGGACGAATTGGGCAAATGCTTTCGACATTATGAGAGGAAGAAGTAGTTCCCTTTCCTGTCCTTCTAAACCTAACGAGCGGACGCAATGACATAAAAACATCTACTGCCGGAACAAAACAACAATTAAACTTAAATTAAATAACAATAACAATGAAGTATTCCCCAAGCCGACTGGTCCTCGTGGGGAATTAGACCACCACCCTCCATTGAAGAATTGCAAGAGTAATAGTAAAGATTGTAATAAAAATGGTAATAAACACAAAAATGTTAGATATGAAAAGAAACAAGTTGAAAACTCCACTTTAAAAATAGGTACATTTAATGTAAGATCCCTTTCATCAATTGAACGATACTTACAACTTACTTATGCACTAGAAAAAATCGATTTCGATATACTGGGTTTATCCGAAGTAAAGAAAACTGGTTACAGCATTGAAGAATATCGAGAGTACATCCTATGTTACATTGGGCAAACAAAAGGCTTACATGGGGTAGGATTCCTAGTAAAGAAAAAACATAAACTCTTCAAACTCACTAATAAATACATAAAACTCGACTACTTTAAGCATAGAGAAATGATAATAACAAAAAATATAAAAAGTTTTAGAAGCACTAAGAGAGCCTTCAAGGAACTAACTCTTCAAAAGAAATGGATACAAAAACTTGAAAACAATTCTGAAGAGACTAAGTCAAGAAAAGATGTGATAGGCCACGCCACCAAATTTTATAAACAACTATACAAAAAGAAGGAAGACGAAAGTACATTAGAAGAAGAAATTGATAATAAATCTAGAGTAAATATAGTTAAACCAATAAAAGAAGAAGAAATACTCTCGCATATAAAAACACTAAAAAATTAAAAAAGTCCAGGGCCCAATGGGTTAACAAACGAAGCCCTTAAATTAGGTGCCCCCATCTTACTTGGATACTTAACACATCTCTTTAATATGATATTAAACACAGAAATGGTACCAAAGCAATGGTGTACATCTGACATTATATTAATTTATAAAAAAGGAAACCCGTTAGATATCGGAAACTACACGACCCATAAGTCTACTGACAAGTATGTACAAGCTCTTTACATCTATCATATTAAAACGAATCACAAAAGAAATTGACGCTTCTCAGGCAATAGAACAAGCAGGTTTCCGCTCAGGATTTAGCACAATTGACCACATACACACTGTAGAACAACTAATAGAAAAATTCAATGAATATAATAAATCTCTTTATATCGGTTTTATAGACTACAGCAAAGCCTTTGACAGTATCAACCATGGTTTCATCTGGAATGCATTAAAAACGTCAAATGTAAACGATAAATACATAAACATCATAAAATATATATACCTAAATAGTACAAGCAGGGTTAAACTTGAAAGGAGAGGTGACCATTAAAAATAGAAAGAGGAGTCAGGCAAGGCGATCCTTTGTCGCCGAAACTTTTCATCGCAGTGTTGGAAAATATATTTAAAAAGTTAAATTGGACAAAATATGGCATTAATATTAATGGCTGTCGTTTAAATCATCTTAGGTTTGCAGATGACATAGTCATATTTTCTGAAACAGCTAAACAACTTAAGGATATGCTACACTCACTAGACCAAGAAAGTTCAAAAGTAGGTTTGGAAATGAATATAAACAAGACTAAGATAATGACCAACAGTCACAACGTACCCATCAAGGTAAAAGGAAACAATATAGAATACGTAGAAAACTACATTTACTTGGGGAAACAAATATCCTTCATGAAAACCAACAACGTAGATGAAGTAGAAAGAAGAAAAAACATTGCATGGAGAAAGTTTTGGTCACTAAAAGAAATTTTAAAAGGAAATTACAGTATAAAAATAAAGAGTATTGTAATGGACACCTGCCTCTTACCTAGTCTATTATATGACTGCCAGACTTGGACATATACAAACAAAGTGAGACAGAAAATATATACAACACAGAGAGCAATGGAAAGGAGCATCTTAAATATAAATAAAATACATAAAGTCAAAAACAATATAATAAGACAAAAAACAAAAATAACAGATGCACTCACGCACGCTTTAAGGTTAAAGTGGAAATGGACAGGACACATATCACGATACCAAGATAATAGATGGACAATACAAACCACACGATGGAAGGGACCAATATCTGGCAAAAGGAAAGTTGGTAGACCACATAAACGGTGGGCCGATGACATAATACAGTATGCAGGAAAACATTGGATGAGCAAAAGTATAAATAGAGAAATGTGGAATCAGATGGAGGAGGCCTTTACTCAAAATGGGATCCATATCTCTGAAAATATACACAGTTAACCGTACAAACAATAACTAATATGAAATAAGCTAATAATACTAACAACAAGTACTAATCAACATGGAAATGTAAAATGTAGAAACGTAGGGATAAGGAATAAAGAGGCTTTATTATTATTATTATGGGGTATCTATATAGTTTTCTCATCTGGTTGGGTTCTATAAATATATAATTATAAATGAAAATGAAAGGATAAATATACATAAATATCAATAACATAAAATAAATATAAAAATACATAAATAAATAAAAGCCCAACCAGATTGAAGCCCTCGGCAGGGGAGACCAAACGGCCGAGGGTTATTATTATTATTATTGGTGGAGCCACGTGTTTAAGGCTGCCGAAAATCTAGTTCCCCGGTCAAACCTCAAACCTATTACGCGAGATATTAACTAAAGTGGACTGTATATGCGATTGCTTCTACGCTTACGTAAAGCGACTACTATAGCATGCGGTACAATGCACTCGCTCTTCCCTAAACTAAACTATTACTTGTCGAATCGATGAAAGGAATCCTGCTTGACTAGGAAAAAAAACACAGATAGGAGCGGGTTAAACTATTAGCAAGCAGGTATAATTAAGGAATATTGACTCACCGGGGTTTCTTCTTCCTGTCGATCACTATAGCGGCGACTTCCGGAACCTCCTCTGGACAGACACTTCTGGGGCCCCAGTGGTGCGTCAGGAGAGAAGAGTTGGTTCAACGACGACTGCGGCGGGAGAAGAGGCTCGCGCATCGGTCGCGCGTGTCTTATATATCCTCGGCTCGGGTGATTACGCGATGTTCTAGAATCGTCTTCTTTCCCCTCCCACCCCACCACCCCGATGTGTCGATAGGAGGGTACGAATGATATTGTTTGGAAAGGAAGTAATGATTCTACAAGTTCCTACCGTCAAATAAAAAACGCGAATGGTTTTCCGCGCAACCAATTATTAATGTTGATAATAGCGTAACTAAGAAGATTTTTCTTATCATTGGCCTCAGAATAAAACAATAAATTTTGTTTTTACACAACTACTTTCGCTTACACCTAAGACAGAACTTTATTAGCAATCTGCCTATTATTTAGATGCGATGTTTTTGAGACGGTCTTGTATACATGGTATAATAGTCTTCTTGCATTTCTCTTAGTTAAGTTTTATTATAAAATGAATTTCAAATATTCTATTACACCATTATATAAGGAACAGAATTCTAGTTGTAGTAACATGAAGAGGGTATACTGAAAGCCATCCCTTAGATTGTAACTATATCTAGCTTTACTAAGACATAAAATTACAGATGACAAAGTATTAGTTTTAAATTAACACATACTGCATAGCTTGTACAATTGCGTCTATATACTGCCTCTTCGTCATATGTGATGTTTCCCGAGGAGTGCTCCTTAATTCAATATAACAGCATCCATCTTCTTGAAACTCTTCGAGTGTTAAAGTTGTTGCTAATTTCAATGTTTCTGGGGTGCTTGTTAGAGCATGGGCGATGTTAAATACTTGAAAACAGCTGAAAATATGATAATAAAGTGTAGCTATATTTTTACTTCAAAATATTCCTAGAAAAACTAATGTGTGCAACATGGTAAAGTCCCTAAGTTGACATGCATATTGTCAACTTAAGGACTTGAGCATTTTTGCAGTCCTTAACTTTAAAAGTTGGTTTGACACAATCAGGATAACACCATAACACAGAAAAAATTGCTTCACGTAAAGCCAAAACTTGAGCAACCTTTGAACTGCTGTAACAATTGCCTTAAAAAATTAAACTCAATACATTTGAGTCACAGAAATCTAAATAATAAGTCAGCTTATTATTTAGATTTCTATGATTTTAGTCTACTGTAAAAAAAAATTGTGTAACAAAAATTCCACTTGAAATTTCAGTCCCAATAACCATTACATGAAGGACTAATAAAATTTTACTTAGGTAAATTTAATTTAATTAGTTCTACCCTCTTAATGTATCCCAATCTTAAATCAAAAGAGATCCCTTCTTAGAATCCTCAAGGAAGAAAGTGTGGCCATCCAAAACAGACTGCATTCAACCGAATTAGCAGGGGTAAATGACACTGGAAGTTCATGCAGTAACTCTCAAAATCAAAGTAAAATAAATAAAAAACATTTGAATAGATGAAAACAAATTTTAAATCTAGCTTAATAAAAGTAGGTATAATTAAAGAATTAAAAAAGATTTTTTATGGAAACTAAGTAATCCTACTTACACTCAACTACTTAGTTTTATGCACTCTAGATACTATGACAGAAGAGGTCATTGGTTTAAATCCCTGGTGAATCAAGTATGTTTGTAACACTATAATAATCCCATTGATGAACTTCCAATTTATTCATGAGTTGTTTCCATAGTCAAATCAGTTAGGAAAACAAATTTAAATTTTATGTTGCATGTCACTAAAATACAATCTACTAATCAGTAAAGACTGGATTAAATGCAAAATTTGTATGCAAATATGCAACAAGAATAGCTAAAATATGCACAAGAAATAATATAAAAGAAATATTTTGAAATGATTTTTATTTTAAAAGCTTTTATTCCTCAATGATAACAATTGTAATACATTTTTGTAAGCGGAAAAGGAACATTCTAGGTCCACTGAGGTGACTGGGCAGAATTTAAATTTGAGAAAAATTTCACCCACCCTGATAACGAAGCTATCAATTTGCCATAAGGGTTCAAACCCTGGGTGATTCCTCAATATGTTTTGAAACTTTTCTTTGAATTTACTCGGGAATAGGTCTAGAAACGAGGAGTTCATAAGACAAATTTTCTTCATATGCTGAATCGATGCATTCAATGTCAATCCATGAGTTTCAAGCTTTTTAATACTTAGGGGAATATGGGCGAAATTAGTGCTTATCACAACTTGGAGATCGAGCAAAATACTCATCATTCCAAAACTTGCTAAAATATGCAACTACTGCTGAAAAGGGGCTAAATATGCAAATACATAATATGTAATATGCAAATGTGTATATCAGGTCACTACTAATCTGATAAGCACATATCTCTATTTAGACTGCTATTAATCAATCATTTTTTTGTACCCTAGTAAATATTATCTGATCATGGAATAATAAATCATTTACATGGTAATGCTAAAAGAGTTAAGTATATATCTTACTCAGACAAATTTCTAGTATCCCCTGCACCAATTTGGAACTCATCAAAGAAAGCATTTGTTTCATCTGATATTCCTGCATCTGCATGGTATCTTTGTAACTGTAGCATTGTAGAGCGACTCAGTGATCCATTTAAATGTGCATGCAGCTCCTGAAAGCAAGTACATACAGCTGTGGCTGAGTCCCAAGCCTGATCTCTCTCCCATTGTGATCCCATCAGACTGATAGTGAGGGAATATAGTGCTCCTGAGCTTGTGCATGCACTCATGCACTATAATCTTGTCCTGCACAGATGGCTCATTGCTATTCAGGCTGAATACCATGACTATAAAATAAATATATATATACTAGAATAATATAAACATGAATAAAAAATATATTTTAGATTTTATTATGAGCATAAACATATAAAATATGTCAGCAAGAAAAGAATATGAATTACTTTATACTTTTTACTTTATACTATATTACTTGTTTCATTAGTTCCCTTGTAATTTAGAATGACAAGGGAACTAATGAAACAAGCTTATGAACATCATGTTACACAGCAGCAGCTGCTGCTGTGTTTCATATCTTTATGCTGGAAACAAGCCATCTGAGCCCTCAGGGGTGACAACACATCTGTATTTTGATTCCTAAATGAGGACAGATGTTGGATGTCAATGGGACCGAGCATATACTTAGAATCATGTGCATGTTTGTCACTACCCTCATTCTATAATATAATTGGAAATAGTGTATCCATTTAATATATTATTATTTAAATATTATATTATTTATTAAAAACTACTAAAATCTGTTGCTTTTTATTTAGATTTTTTACAATAAAGTCGGCGTATTTATCTTATATGTTATGTTATGGATACATACAAGTCTTCATATTTTCATTATATTTTGTTTTCTAACATATTGGACGATAAGGACAAATTTTAACGGAGAGTGGAAATAATCGCTGTCGAAATCCGAAATAGGATGTTTTATATTTATCACCTTTATGTTGTACTTTTAATAAAATATTTGCCATCCATATTCTTTTTGTAATAATCCTGTACAAAGTTTTTAGTGCTGACACATTTTATTCAGTTACTGCGAAATGTTCGTTGTTACTTACTAATTTGGGTAATTCACGACAAAAACGATCCAAATCCATTTCCATGTTAAAAATGTGAGTAATTTTATATATTATTAGATAATGGAATTAAATGCTGTAAAATTCGGTAGAACCCTCAATAGTTCACCAATTTACCATATAGCCAAATTTATATATTTACTATACTCTTTGAGCCAAATACCTACTAGAAATAAGATTTGAATTTTGTAATAAACCTTTAGGAATGTTCGATGATCATCGATTTTAAAAATTAAGACATCGATGTGGCCATATATCAAACATCGAAACATCGATGTCAATGAACCAATAATCGATTAATAAGAACTTGTGAACAATGCGAACTTGCGAAATCAATGTGGACTAAATATTTCATACCAATTAAAGGTTTAAAATTTTGAATAATACAGGATTCTTAAACGCATCAATCACCTAAAAATATCATTATGGTGCGTCAAACTCACTGTCAAGTGTGAACTGTAATATCACAGTTGTTTTTGCTTTCGCTTTGTTATTTTGTGGTGTCGTCGGTTATCGCCTAGTTTTGGCGGGAACTTGGCCGTCGACGGATTGTCGCTCCTGTTTTGTCGCTTGAATAATGATTTGAAGTGGATTCCGATTCGTAAAAGTGATGCGATTTTGTGAATTAAATATCTGCGCATGTGAACTATTAGAGAAAACGACGAAACAAGTGCTTTGATGTTGATATAAACCTAAAGTTATTTTGATCGCTTGGGCTCCTTATGAACTTGAGTGGCTTTCGTCATCAACAGTCCGTTGGGTTGAGCTGTCGTCAAAATCTCCCAAAAATTTCGCAATGTGACGCAACAGCATATTGTGAAGAAAAAATATATAAAAATGAAGATTTCGAAATAAATGATAGGCTCAGAAGGACTAGAACCCAGAGCCACCTACATAAATTGATATTCTAATCATCGAGATACTATGTACTACGTATAGTTGCCGACACGAGTCGTGAGCACCGATAAACTGTGATGGGAGGTAGGTACACTGTCGGGCAAAATTATTGGGTAACTTTATTATTTCAATTCGTAATTGAATATTTTCGCCGACTTTTATGAAAATGTTTACTCGAACACATCAACTTTTACCTTGACACAGTACTGTTGTAGATATTCGTGTCCGTTAGTTTATTATCTACTATAAAGTATTTAATGTATACCTGGTGGTTAGAATTGATTATTTTATTAAGAGGAAGGAAGAGGTGATATGCCTTCCATAAAATCGGGTGTTGCGGTGTGCCGTACAGTAGCTACTGAGACATTAGTCGCCTTAGCAGTCTGTTTATATACGTCTATGATGTTTTTCGCAGTACCTAATTTTTCCATCTAACTAAACACTGAATAGACCATTTGTCGGGATTGTCTGTTTAACACCGAATCCTTCCTTCTCTGCATATTTAGAACAAAATCTGAACACTCAAATTATAACAACAAAAATAATTGAAAACAAGAAATAACAAAACAATTAATAACAAGGAATACACAAACAACAATTAACAACGAGGTAACAAATTAACGAAAATTAACTAATTAAAAGAGTTATCACTAAAATTATTGCTCTGAAGTGTACGGAAGCCGAATGATACGTTCGAAACCAATAGACGACGAGAATCGACTGATGAACCAATCACGTTGAACGACAGCGTGGTCAACGTCGTATCGACCAATAAAAAGTGTGCTCACGACTTATGTCGGCAATTACACTTGAAGGGCTATCTGTAAACAATTTTTTGCAGTAATTATGGATATTTTGTAACTTTACTCTAGCCACAGCGCTAAAAAGATATTATGCCATCTATTCAAACGTCTAACAACAGGTAGCGCTAGATTGCTGAAAGTTGTAGTTAGCAAGCTCAATGCTCGCGAGAAAAAATTCATAAATGCCGCCGATATGGCGTCACTTACGCGTTTTGTTCAACGAGGTACGAAGATGTCGTGTGCCTATAGAATAAACAAGAATAAACAAACAGTGAAGAATGGCCAAACCTCAACTTCGTAATAGGCAAAATTGATATAAATCTTTTTGTAATGAGTGAGTACTGTATAAGTTATTTCGAAAAGAGTATACATATTCGAAGGGAAATTAATCTACTCGTGGTAAAAATTAGTGGCTGTCCCGTACTTTTAAAAGTACACTAACAATGTCGAAGACTTCTTTAAATATTTTAAACATCGTCGGATTAAAATATGTCATTTAAATAAAACAAGTTATAAAATAAATAAGTCCAAATAATACTTATTTGAATAAAAACAGGATCATCAAACCGGTAGTAGGTAGTTTCGTGCTTTATCAGTCTGTATGCTTCACTTTTCATAATCTATGATTTTCATATAGAAGTGGCAGCCATGTGGCAGCGGCAGTAAATTATTATCAAATATTAAATTTAGTGCTTTTTAGCACATTTTTTGTTTACTTACCGGTGATATGTCACTTCAACATCTTTTTTATTCGCAGTTGAAGCGTTTTTGCATGTTTTTAAGACGCACGATGGCATTTTTTATTTTTCGTGTAGTCACAATCTAGACACATTGTCTCGGTGAGTGTAGGAGAGTGATTGAATAAGTTGTTGCCGATTGACAACAACTTACAGCGCAATAATTTTGTACGCTTTGTCGTTTCTATGTAATTCAATTCAATGATTCTAATTAATTGTTTTTCCCTTGCTTTCTACACCCACATAGTTTTCAAAAAAAATGTATCTACCCAATTCAATTATATTTAGCTGTTTTTTGAGCTTGGGATGACGTGTTTATTGTTTGCTTGAAGTTTATGAAAATAAATCACTGGGCGATAGCGCATTCGACTGTGCATTTAATAAATGGCTGTGGATACTTAATGCTTAAAAATTATGAATGAGGGTGACGGAAAAGTCTATTATTTTGTTTTAGTAAAGTTTGTTAATTTTTCCTCTATAATAATATTTTATATCACGATAGGAGTAGTTGATATTGTTACGAGCTTGAGGTTCGTGACAATAAAAATTGCCGATAAAATTACCTAAATTAACACTTTAATTTACTTTACACAAATTAAAACTTAAAACACTAAATATTAAACACACTAATTCACTTTATTCCGCTCCGAAGCTTCGCTTGTCTCGCCAAATCCAATACTGCCCGATCGCATCTTGCAGCGCCTATATATACAAATTAGCAATGAAGCATCCGGAATATTCAAGAAAATGCGCGCAAAGCGACGAGTGTTCGAGTGTAGATTTTCTAGAAACTTAGTTCTTCGGATGGCGCTGTCGGTTGAAAGATTTGTGATGTCATTTTCTGCAAAGCTCCCCTCGCTCTCGTTCCTGACACTAGATGGCGCTAGTGTATGCCGTTGACTTATTCACGCAACACTGCCCCCTCCTAAGACATGCTCGTCCCGAGCATTATCGGTCCCATAATAACGCGCCAAGCGATCCACATGGACTGATTTTTTGTTTTTTTTTGGGGTTTTTTTTTGGGGGGGGTTTCGTTCTGGTTTGGATAAAAAAAAGTTGTGTTTTTTTCATTTTTCATTGGGTTTATTGTCCCATAACTCGGCAAGTTTCCTGGAATATTTGAGACTCAAAATTCCTTCCTTGATCGCTGTGAATCTCTAAAGGTACTCCAAAACGACAGAAGACTTCATGAACTAGTTTATCTGCAACTGTTGAAGCTTCTTGATTTGGAATGGCGAAAACTTCTGGCCACTTTGTGAAGTAATCCATCACAACCATGAAATACTTGTTACCGCTTTCACTCTCCGGAAACGGCCCCGCCAAGTCAATGGCTATTCTCTCCCATGGTGCACCAACATTGTACAACTTCAATGCACCTCTACTACGAGTCTGAGGTCCCTTTACAGCCGCACAACTTGTACATTTGCGACACCAGTCCTCGACATCGTTTCGACAGTGGACCCAATAAAACCGTTCTCGGATCTTCAGTAGAGTTCGTTTAACTCCCAGATGGCCTCCGGAACAATCATTATGGTACAGCTGTAGAACATCCGGTACTTTAGCTTTAGGGACAACCATTTGCAAATGACAGCTGTCTCCCCTAACATTTTCCCATTTACGGCACAGAACTCCATCCTGAAGCAGCAAGCTGTCCCACTGGGCCCAATAGCTTTTAGTGGTCGAACTCATTGCTGAGACGTCGCTCCACTTAGGCTTGGGAGCACTGGCCTTTATCCATTCCAGAATCGGCTTGATGTCCGGATCTTCCTGCTGTGCATGTTGTAAGCTGTCCTTCCATTCGTTGTTGAGGTGGTCCGTCCTGAGCATCCTCACGGATACATCCTCCTTACTCTCTTGCCTAGTACAATGGTTGCAATCTTCAGGACAAGGTCTTCTTGATAATGCATCTGCGTTGCCGTGAGATTTTCCGCTGCGATGTTCGATCTCAAAGTCGTATTCCTGCAGTAGTTCAATCCACCTCGCAACTTGTCCTTCTGGATTTTTAAACTGCAATAGCCATTTTAGTGCAACATGTCAGTTCGTAAGTTAAATTTTCGTCCCAGAAGATATTTGCTAAAATGCTGCAACGACTTTACCACAGCGAGCAATTCGCGTCTTGTGACACAATAGTTCCTTTCCGGTTTTGACAACGACTTGCTGAAGTACGCTATCAAGACCTCTTGGTCACATTCCGTTGAGACAACACACCGCCAAGTCCTATATCACTTGCGTCTGTGTCAACTATAAATTCTTTGCTTGCATCAGGGTATCCCAAAATAGGTGTTTTGCACAGACGGTCCTTGAGCTCCTGGAATGCGATATTGCAACTTTCATCCCAGCAGAAATGTCGCTTCTCCTCGGTCAGCTTGTGCAGAGGTTTGCTATATCTGCAAAGTTCTTCACGAATCGCCGGTAATAGGAGCACAAACCCAAAAATGCTCTAACCTGCGTCTTGTCTTTTGGAACCGGCCAATCCTTGAAAGCGGCGATTTTCTCTGGATCTGTGCGGATACCTTCTTCCGATACTACAAACCCCAAAAAGTTGGTGTTGGAATAACTTGCTGTTGGAATAGTGAACATTTCTTCGGGC